CAATATTACTTTTCTGTCCCTTGCCTTCCTGATTTTATCTATTTTCAACCCTTCTTCCTTGGCATTTATTGCGTTTCTTATCTTATCCATGACCTGATCGCCGGTTTCTTTTTCATCATTCGATGTGATAATTACTGAATGCATGGCCATGTTTTCTGAAGGCAAGGGTGTAGGTGATGGTAAACCCCTTGGTGGCCCAGCCACTATATTTGCGTATGTTCCTCTATCTTCTCTTGTTTCCTGTTTTCTCATTTCTTCTCTTAATTTTTCCATCTCAATTTTACTTTCCTCTAACAGTTTGCCGTGTAGTTCCAATTTCTTCATTAATTGTTCTTCTTCTTTTCTTTTCCTATTTTCATCTTCTAATCCTTTTTTCACCTGGTCTTTAGGCTTTTCTTCTTTCTCGGTGTTTTTGCCTGTTTCCGCCTCTTTCACTAGTTGATAGAGTCTCTCTATTGCCTGAGTGACTTCCGTTTTTATATCGGTCCTCAGGTTTCGAGAGTTACTCAAATGTAGCTTAGCTTTATGGAGACAGGCTCTGGCCTCTGATATCCGATCCGTAAATTTTGTAGCAATTTTTGGAGAGCTTTCTATGTTCTCAGCCGCTGGTTTCCGCGCTGTTACTCTAGCCTCCTGTGATGGAACAATCTTCTGCTTTGGACGAGCCACCGGGGCTACCTTTTTTGGCGAGATTTGTGTTGCAGTTTCTACATCTATTTTTCCCATCTCCCACTCACCAATACTTTTCCTCACGCTAGGGACTTGCAACTCACTATCGTTTTTAGGAGAAGGCCCAGCCTTCTCTCTCCTACTTGGAGATCCCGGAGGACTCGTGTCCCTGGCACTATCCTCAGTCTTTTTAACGGGCGTACGAATGCCGAACATTTTCAGTGGAACGCGTCTTGGGTCTCAACAACCAATAAAACAATTTGTAAAAATAAAATAAAAAGTAATAAAAAGTAAAATAATATAAAATAAAATAAAATAATAAACGGAAAACGAGCAACAATACACAACAACAATTAATAATAGTCAAGTTTTAATAAATTTTAAGGTTTGTAGAAGTTATAAAATCTTTTCAAAATTTTGAAAATTTTTTTTTTTTGAAATTTTGAAGTTTGTTGAAGTTGCAGTACTTAAATTTTTCAATCGGCAAAACCCCACAAATGCCGCGTCACAATAATATTGTTGTAAAAAATTAAAAAATTTTTTGCTCTATGTAGAGTCTCCACTCTATCTTCGTTAATGTGTCATATACATAGAGTACAATATAAATGTTACAATAAGAAACGTTTCAAAAATTTAATTTTTATAGTCTATAATGACTCTACCTAGAGTCTGTCTATGTCTCTATTAATATTTATAAATTGTTTTATTTATTAATCAACTAACTAACTTCTTTAAAAAATTTTTTATGAAAAACTTTTTCTTGCTCTACCTAGAGTTTACACTATTTTCTAGTCTTAATCATATAAACTACACATTAAATTGTATTATACGTTTATCTCACTTAATTTCTAATTATATTTTGGTCTGGCACAAAAATAGAAAATTTTTTCAAGGCTCTATGTAGAGTCAGTCTAAGTCTAAATTACTAGATCTATTTTTATAAAGTTATTTACAAAAAACCCCGTCAAAATCGGATCACTGGTTACTTTATAATTACAATTTTAAATTTTTCATCCCCCAGAGACTAAGTCCAGAAGTCAAGTTAGGGGTAGGGGGATGAAACTTTGTCAAAATGATCCGGGAGGGTCCGAAGACTATCCCTTTAGTGGAAAGTGTGGGGGGGGGTTAGGGGGGGGGCCCCGAAAAAAATGTCAAAATTGAGCTAGGAGGCTCCGTTCTCCTGAAAACTGAAAAACAAGTTTTCGTGCGGTTTGCAGGACCTCCCAGCTCACACAAATAAATTTATAACTTAAAAACTACTTATCCGAAAATTCTGAAAAAATTATGGTAGATAATGTATTAGTTGCTGTATTATTTTTTATAATTAATAAATTTTGATTCCTGAAAAAATTTTGAGTTTTAGAATTTTGAAAATTTTGTTACGAAAACCAACAACCGCAAAAAGACTCTAAATCGTGTAATTATGTCGGGACAATTTTGATTTGGTTAGGTTAGGTTAGGTTAGGTTAGGTTCCCCCCCGAACGGGTTCCCGCCTTGTCGTGGCGGGGGGGCTTAGTAGCCGTGGCTTGGTCAACCGCGGTGAACAAAGAGGAACCCCTTGGCTGGCCCGAGGTGTAGGGCCGGCCCGAGGTGGCCACTCCGAGTGGGCTTGGGAAGCCCACTTCGGATGTGTGTCGGTGGGCTGCGGTGAGAAGGGAGTCCGCACCCTCTACCGCTGCAGCCGAGGTGGAGTCGCGGAGGAAGAGGAGTGTTGGTATGGCGATGCGCCACTCGCCCTATCCTCCGCGACTCAGACGGGGCCGCACCGTTAGTTGATGCGGTGGTGGTGGGGCCGCGGGGGGAGAGGAGTGTCGGTATTGCGAGGCGCCGCTCTCCCTACCCTCCGCGGCCGAAACTTGGTTGGCGGCGGAGCCCGAGACCAGATCCGCCGCTGGGGCCAGGAAGGCCGGTGCTTCTGTGTGCTAGCTTTTCCTGGCCCCATGGCCTTCGCGCATCGGACACGGGGGCGTCCGTTGCGCATTGGAAATTGGAGGCCGAGGAGGAGGGCGCACCATGTGTTCTGGTGCGCCTTACCTGAGACGGAGGTGGGGGAGGAGTGTTCCTCTCCCGAGGAGGGGCCGCCATGTGGCGGCCAGCGCAGGTGGGGCCGCGGAAGTGTGCGAAAGCGTTCCCGTGGCCCTGCCAATATGCGACGAGTGTGGAACACCATGGGGTTTTAGTCGGTGCGAGTCCGACATAACCCGTCCTTGCCCCCGCGAGGCGGGTATGCGTAGGCATTTCCCCATGTAAAAAAAAAAAAAAAAAAAAAAAGGTTAGGTTAGGTTAGGTTAGGTTAGGTTAGGTTCCCCCCCGAACGGGTTCCCGCCTTGTCGTGGCGGGGGGGCTTAGTAGCCGTGGCTTGGTCAACCACGGTGAACGAAGAGGAACCCCTTGGCTGGCCCGAGGTGTAGGGCCAGCCCGAGGTGGCCACTCCGAGTGGGCTTGGGAAGCCCACTTCGGATGTGTGTCGGGGGGCTGTGGTGAGAGGGGAGTCCGCAACCCTCTACCGCTGCAGCCGAGGTGGAGTCGCGGAGGAAGAGGAGTGTTGGTATGGCGATGCGCCACTCGCCCTATCCTCCGCGACTCAGACGGGGCCGCACCGTTGAATGATGCGGTGGTGGTGGGGCTGCGGGGGGAGAGGAGTGTCGGTATTGCGAGGCGCCGCTCTCCCTACCCTCCGCAGCCGAATCTTGGTTGGCGGCGGAGCCATGGACCAGATCCGCCGCTGGGGTCGGGAAGGCTGGTGCTTCTTAGTGCTAGTTTTTCCTGGCCCCATGGCCTTCGCGCATCGGACACGGGGGCGTCTGTTGCGCATATGAAATTGGAGGCCGAGGAGGAGGGCGCGCCATGTGTTCTGGTGCGCCTTACCGGAGAAGGAGATGGGGGAGGAGTGGTCCTCTCCCGAGGAGGGGCCGCCATGGGGCGGCCAGCGCAGGTGGGGCCGCGGAAGTGTGCGAAAGCGTTCCCGTGGCCCTGCCAATATGCGACAAGGGCGGAACACCATGGGGTTTTAGTCGGTGCGAGTCCGACATAACCCGTCCTTGCCCCCGCGAGGCGGGTATGCGTAGGCATTTCCCCATGTAAAAAAAAAAAAAAAAAAAAGGTTAGGTTAGGTTAGGTTAGGTTAGGTTAGGTTCCCCCCCGAACGGGTTCCCGCCTTGTCGTGGCGGGGGGGCTTAGTAGCCGTGGCTTGGTCACCCACGGTGAACAAAGAGGAACCCCTTGGCTGGCCCGTGGTGTAGGGCCGGCCCGAGGTGGCCACTCCGAGTGGGCTTGGGAAGCCCACTTCGGATGTGTGTCGGGGGGCTGCGGTGAGAGGGGAGTCCGCACCCTCTACCGCTGCAGCCGAGGTGGGGTCGCGGAGGAAGAGGAGTGTTGGTATGGCGATGCGCCACTCGCCCTATCCTCCGCGACTCAAACGGGGCCGCACCGTTGATGCGGTGGTGGTGGGGCCGCGGGGGGAGAGGAGTGTCGGTATTGCGAGGCGCCGCTCTCCCTACCCTCCGCGGCCGAAACTTGGTTGGCGGCGGAGCCCGAGACCAGATCCGCCGCTGGGGCCAGGAAGGCCGGTGCTTCTGAGTACTGGTTTTTCCTGGCCCCATGGCCTTCGCGCATCGGACACGGGGGCGTCCGTTGCGCATTGGAAATTGGAGGCCGAGGGGGAGGGCGCACCATGTGTTCTGGTGCGCCTTACCTGAGACGGATGTGGGGGAAGAGTGTTCCTCTCCCGAGGAGGGGCCGCCATGGGGCGGCCAGCGCAGGTGGGGCCGCGGAAGTGTGCGAAAGCGTTCCCGTGGCCCTGCCAATATGCGACGAGTGTGGAACACCATGGGGTTTTAGTCGGTGCGAGTCCGACATAACCCGTCCTTGCCCCCGCGAGGCGGGTATGCGTAGGCATTTCCCCATGTAAAAAAAAAAAAAAAAAAAGGTTAGGTTAGGTTAGGTTAGGTTAGGTTAGGTTTTTTTTTTTTTTTTTTTTTTTTTATATGTATGCTTTGCTGTTTCCCTCTGACATGGGGGTCAGAGACATTGTCAGCTCGACACGGACTTTGAATTCATTTTCTTTATTTATTTAGTCCTTGATATTATAAAGGGTGTAGAGGACTCCGGGTTTTCGTTCGGGAGTCCTACTACTCTTAGTCTAGTGCATGCAACAACAATTTCCAATATTTAATGCTAGGGGTAGTGACAACTTATATAATACTTATTTGACTTATACTATTTGTTAGTTATTGCTTATATTCTATTTAATTATTGCTAATACATATTTCAATTTATTTTGTAATGCTGATCTATAATATAATACAATATATTATGACAGCATCCTTACTTAAACAGTTTTATTCCTATTTATTACTCTTTTTGCAATTTTCAAACAATAACTCATAAATTTTTCTCTGTATTTACTCATCATTATGATACTTATATTCTCCTTAATTAATTTTAATTCAATTTCGTTTTCTATTTTCAGGCGCTCTGCGGCGTATGCGGGACACTCCAGCAAAATGTGTGGCACAGTTTCTTCAGCATCGGGGTCGCAAATGCACGATGGATTCTCTTTACACTTAAAGCGGTGTAAGTATTCCGAAAATCCACCATGCCCCGTCATGACTTGGGTAGTCTCGCTGCTTGCTCCAAATTTTCTTATTAATCGGTAGGCCAATTTCGCGTCTGGGAAAAACAGCTTCGTGATTTTTGCTGTTTCACCGGTCTGGTATCTTTGATTCCATTCGTCTAGCGTTGCCATACGGATGCTTCGCTTGACGAATGAAACCGGGCAAAGATCGTAATCCGGTCTCACTTTGGAATTTTTTGCGGCCTCTTTTGCTAGTCTGTCTGCTCGTTCATTCCCCTCTAAGCCCGCGTGGGCTTTAATCCAAAACAAAGTTACTACTTTGTTTTGGAGAGATATTGCTCTTAAATTATCTCTACATTCCACGGCTAACGGGTGAAGGCAGTTTGAGTTAATGATCGTTTGAAGGGCCGCCATTGAGTCACTATAAATTCCAAAGGAGGACGCTCTGTGCTTGAGGATTTGCCCAGTCGCCCTGCAAATGGCCAGGAGCTCGGCCTGGTAAACTGTGCAGTATGTTGGTAGAGCAAGTTTGAGGGCTTTATTTTCGGTCTTGTTTTTCCATTCGGAAAGGGCGGCGCCAACCTTGCCCTCAATCTTGCTCCCGTCAGTAAATATGTGGACGTTTATTTCGCTGTGTTTGTTCAGCTGCTCCTCGTTTACCAAGCTAATAATTTCTAATTCCAGGCGCTCAGCAGGGTGTGGGCCCTCAACGGCTGAAGCCATTCTCTCGACTTCTCTTCCCGCCAACACTGGCTGAGGTACCCCCTTCTTGGCTTCATATAATGAAGCCGCCTCACGAACTCGGAGGTCTAGGGGGAGTATTCCAGCCAGTACTAGCGCCGAATTCAAAGAAACCGTCCGGTAGGCTTTGCATAATTTTTGCGCTATACCGCGCTGGACTACGGCAAGTTGTTTTATAACCCCCAGCTTTTTTGCAGCCTGTGCCCAGACGCTAGCAGCGTAAAGTATAATAGGCTCTACAGTCGCGAGATATATTACTCTTATCACTTCCGGATGAAGTCCCCAACTAACCTTTGCAGCTTTGCATAGCTGTTTGTAGATACCGATTGCCTTCCTACACACGTTCGATACATGGGTGTTAAAAGTAAGTTTATTGTCAATAGTTACACCCAGTAGCTTTATTTCTTTTGACATGCCAATGTCAATACCTCCCATGCTCAGGCGTGGTGTATCGTGTTTAAGTTTTCTGGTAATAATCATCGCATTTGTCTTATGCGGAGCAAATTTCAGCTTGTTTTCAACCCCCCACGTCCAGACATGTTCGAGAGTGGCATTGGCATGTCTCTCCACCTCGTGTGCTGTGTCACCGTCGAAGACTAAAACGACGTCGTCCGCAAACGCCTGACAATATTCTCCCCTGCATTCCAAGCTCGTCAAAAGAGGGTCTAGTAAAAGATTCCACAAGATTGGGCCTCCTATGGATCCTTGGACACAGCCTTTGTTAGTATCTTTTGTATATTCTTCTCCACCGTATCTGACTACGACTTTCCTGTTCCTGAGATAACTATCCATGACCCTCCTCAAATCCAGCGGACACTTTTCCTCAGCCAGACGGACACGTATGGCTGGCCACCAGGCGCTATCAAAGGCTCCCTCTATGTCCAATGATATTAGAGCTATGATTTTCTTTTGATCTAACTTCATGTGAATGTACTGCATTAGTACATAGAGGGAGTCCTCGGTGCTCCTCTGTGGCATGAACCCGTACTGGCGAGTACTCATCCTTGGCAAAAGGTGGAATTTGAGGCGGGCCACTAGCAGCTTCTCAAAGATCTTTCCTAGTATAGGTAGCAGTCCAATGGGCCTATACGCTTTTGGTATGGTATAGTCTATTTTTCCTGGTTTTCTAAGCACTATAACTGTAGCGATTTTCCAGGTTTCTGGAAAGTGTCGTAGCATTAGGCATTTATTGAGGAAGGCCAAAAACAGCTCAGGGTTGCTTTCAATAGCGTGTAGGCATATATCGGCTGTGAAACCGTCCGCTCCTGGGGCTTTTTTAGGGTTGAAGGATTGGTACGCCTGTTTCAATTCTGTCATTGTGAACAGAGGATCACACAGGTCATCTTGCTCAGCAGAGTTCACTTTGTCAGCTTTTGTTCTTATTAGGCGATGGTAAGTGGTTTCGTTGTCTGTTAGGTCTTCCGGGAAGAACGTTTCCGCCAATAACTTCACGGAACCTTTTGCGTCCAACACTACCTTATTTATTTCCAGTGGCACATCCTCCTCCCTACGTGTTGTTCTCCCAATTACCCTATAGATACCTTCCCAGACCCCTTCCCTATCCTGTTTATAGCAAAAGGCTTTCCAGCTCTCGATCTGGGCTTTAACCGCTTCTGACTCATATCTCTCTTTTTGTTCCAGGTACTCTTCTACGACCTTCTGTCTCCGGACTAGGGCAGCGCATTTGATCCTGCGTTTCTTGGTAGTGACTTCTTTTTTCATCTCGGCGAGCTTCTCGGACCACCACGGCAAGGTAAGTTCTTCTGTTGCTTTTTTAGTTGGCATTGTTTGCTTGCAAGTTTCCGTTATTGATTTCGTTAATTTATCTGTTGCTATATCTATTTGTTCTATGGTATCAATTTTTTCTATTTCTGATTTACTGAATTTATTTTCTAACAGCAATTGGTTAAGTTTCTCATGAAACTTAGGCCAATTTGCCTTCTTCGTATTATATAGTCTCGTAGTTCTGTTTACTCGTAGACCTTTTGATTTTTGTAGCCGAATATTAAAAATAATGCCATTGTGGTCCGAGCTCGTGAGACCCTCGTCCACTGTCCAGTCATCTACCAAGTCCAGGATGTCCGTCGAGCATGCTGTTACGTCGACATAGCTGGAATATCGTTTTCCTCCCCGGATGGTATCGAAGGTCGGAATATCTCCTCTATTCATTATGTTCAGACCCAGTTCCTCGAGAGCTCCTGTCATTTCTTCTCCTCTGTGGTCGACGATCGGGCTTCCCCACCATGTACTTTTTGAATTGGCGTCACCTCCAGCAATCCACTTTGTACTTCCAATTTCTTGCTTTATCTTTTTAAGGTGATCAATATACGGCTCTATGGGCTGATCTGGCTCGAAGTAATAGGAGACGAGTGTTATTTCCCAAGCTCTAGTTTGAATTCCCACCACAATGATGTTATTTGTGGTGAGTTTTGGGTACTGTTTTACGTTAAAACCAATGTTGAAAACGGCTACCGCTGCCTTAACAGTCCCTTCTCCTGGACTAGAGTTTTGGAAAACCCTCACGCCTCTTTGTCCTTTCATCGTGTTAGCACCACCTACGTACGGTTCTTGAAGTAGTGCTATATCAGCTCCACGTTTCTCAGCTTCAATAAAAAGTTCATGCGTTGCTAATTTTTTGCGCTGGAGATTTGCCTGAATGATTTTGTAGTGGGCTTGTTCAACTTGTACACCTTTAGCAATATGCTATAGTGGAACGGGCCAATTCATCCCACTTCCGGCGCGTTGGGCAGTTTGCGCTAAAGGCATTGTGTTCCGTCTGGGGCAATTTTGCCTTTGAGCAGTTTCGGCATTTGGGTGGTTCACTAGCAAGCCAGTCACTACACTCGGACTTTAGGTGGGGGCCACCACAGTGGCTACACAGGTCTGATAGTTCTTTACAGAACCTCTTACCGTGACCATATCCTAAACAGCGTGTGCATTGCACCAGTGGGGATTGATCTTCTGCTCTAACACGTTGTAGATCAATATGAACACTCCCAATTTCAATAACTCTTTGCCAGATGATAGGCGAAACACTAACAACAATGTGGCTGGTGTGGGGGTTTCTTGTTTTTCTTTTATATTTTACTTCAATTCTGATTTCACCTTCGTCGAGACCGTGGAAAACTCCGCGATTTTGATTCCTCAGAGCCTTGATTACATCTTCGTCTGTGTTAATGAGAAGGACATTTCTGAGGATCAAAAGTGGGTCCTTGTTTTTGACTTCTTCGACGGTGAGATTTACTCCTTCCTTTTCAAGACGGTTTTTCATTTTGTTCCTTTCCTCTTTTGTTTCGAAACCCATAATGATTTTTCTATCCTTTGCTTTCCTTACCCTTCCAACCTTTATCCACCCTTCTTTTGCATCAGCTGCCTTTCTGACCCGGCTCATCACCTCTTCCCCCGTTTCAGTTTCATCTTTTGATGTAACTACTACGGAATGTAGGGTACTACGCTGTGGGGGAGTTTTAATAATTTTGTCTGCAGTTACATTTGCGTATGTTGGCATTGTCGCTCGCTCTAGAGTTTCTCTTTGCTTTTCCATTGATTCTTTCAACTCTTCCATCTTTTTATTTGTTTCTAGCAACAATGTTGCATGCTCCTCAATCCTTGTTTTAAGGTCTGAGTCCATGATTGAGAAGGTAGAGTCAGTGGCAGCAGTTTCCAACTCTAACTTTTCACTCTTTTCCTTTTCTCCTTTTGACTTTTTTGCCTTTAGCTCCATTTCAGCTCCTTTAACAAGCTGATATAACCTATCCAGTGCTTCTACAATGCTATTTTTAATCTCTGTTTTTGTATTCCGAGAGGCATTCAAATGGAGCTTGGCTTTTGTTAAACATGCCTTTGCTTCCATTGTTCGGTTTTCATACTGCTGCTTTGGCGGAGTGTGTATTTCAACAGACACTTTTTGTGTCACTTTACTGTTTTGTATCACTGATACCGTTGGTTTTGCTTTAGCAGTACCTGCCTGCATTGTCGTGGAAGCTATGGATGGGGTTGAATCAATGTTAGATTCCCAGTCATCTATGCTGCGTCTTACTTTTGAAATTTCACTTCCTGTTTTAGAGGGTGACTTTTCAGATTGTGTCAATTTTGTTGGTGTTCTAATTCCAAACATTTTGGGAGTGTATGTTCGTGTAGCGTCAATAGAATAATGTGTATAAAGGATGTATAAATATATCAATCAAATTGTAAAACAGAGAAAAACAATTAAAAATAAAACAAAAACAAAATATATAAAAATGTATAAGAGCGTATAAAAGATACCTCTATCTAGAGTCACAGACTCCGTCAAAAAATTTTTTATTTACACAGTATGTTAACTTCCGAGTAAAAAGAAATAAAAAGAAATAAAAATTTCCTTTTTAAATTTAATAAAACTGTTTAAGAACTAAAAATTTGCAGCGATGTTATAATATAAGTGAGATTAAAGTTAAGATACAATATTTACTATGAAAATGTAAAGTGAAATGTGATATTTTTCTTATATGATATACGTATAAAGGGAGTACAATTATCACTCTATATAGAGCCTTAGTCAACAAGGAACAAAAGTATGTGCAGGCAAGATTTTTTCATACAAAAATAGCAATACAATTTGCAATTTCAAAGTCGATCAAAATTTTTACTATGTAGAGTCACTAAACTAAAACCCCCTATACTAAGTCTTGCTCAGGTTATTATTTATATAATCACAAAAGATAAGTGAAAAAGACAGTTTTTACCCAAGTTATTCACTAATTTGTTTTTGGCTCTACGTAGAGTTTATATTACATAACCATCCGAAAGCCCTCCTCAAGCCCTTTCCAACGAACCCAAACCCGATAGACCTAGCCCAACGGGTTCCGAAGTTACCGCACTTTCAAATTCTGGTTCCAAAACAAGATGGCGGTCAAAAATGTGGTTAAAGCGCTGTAACTCAAGAACGGATAGGCCCACAGTGCACAGCTTGGGCTCGTTTTGTTGGGCTCGACAAGAGCTATCATATGGTATAGTTTTCAGGAGGCAAAATTTTTATAGTCTGAAATTTCCTGAAACTTTGTTTCCTACTACAACAGGCCTTGTTGACGTCTACGGTCAAAACCCCAGTCCTCTACGACTTCTAGTTTAGCAGATATGTGTCTTTAAAGTTTTTCAAAATGGCTGCTGAAATGTCAAAGTCAAACTTTAACTGCCGATAACTTTGCTTCTAGTAATCACAGAAGTCCCGGGCTTCGACTATATTACTAAGCTTTGTCTAAACTCTCAGATAAAATCACTTTCAGGACACTAAAAAGTATGGACCTAAAAACGCCTGAAACTTTGGAGGCTGATAAAACTCAGTCCCCAAATGCAGATACTGAAAACCGCAAATTTCTGCGACGCTTAGAAACGAATCTGCAGCAGTTTAAAAGATTCCAAAATGGCCGCCGAGCTGTCAAATCATATGTTTGGAAGCCTGTAACTTTAAAACTATACGTCGTACGACAACCGCGTTTGGAATTCACAGCTTGGCTAGACCTAAATTGTATCCTGAATGTGGTTTCAGGAGAGAAAAATTTCAGGCGGCCAAAACGCCTGAAAAGTTAATATTACCGTAAACTATGTGCTCCCCAAGCCAGCGTTCGAAATCCGAGATTTCTACGACCAGGATCTTCGAAGATATAAGCAAACAAAAAATGAAACCAGAAAACCAAATTGGCTGAATTTTTCCAAAATCGTCAAATTTAAGTATATTCGCGTGTAGTTTGGGCTTAAATAAAAAGATTCCAGCACAGAAATACTATATTTATAGTCAAAATTTATTAATTTCTATTATTTTACTAGTATTTAAGAAAAAATGTTAAAAATTCTATATCTTCTAAACCCTAATTCGTAAAAATCTGAAAAAAATTTGATAATTATGACAAAATCAAGCTTAATTTATATCTATAAAAGAATTTAAAAATAAGTTACTTTTTTATATAAAAAAAACATAAAATATGGTTTTTTAACGAAATTAATTGTATTTTGTAATTTTCCAAACGGATTTGAAATTTCAAAATTTTTACAGGTAAATAAAGGAAGCGCGCAAATTCTAGCAGTTTCAGAATTTTCGCGAACGCTACTATAACAAAGAAAATTGTGTTTGAAATTTCAATATTGAAGATTTAATTATTCTTAAAATATACAACTAAAAAATCTGCAAACAGGTGAAAAGCTTTTTCCCTGTCTATGTCTTGCTTATTGTAAATTTTCAGTTTGCTATCTATTCTCCTTCTTGGTTTTCAGCAACACGTGGTTTTGGGTTTTTTGCAAATAAGTCCAAAATGCGTAGTCCAAAACTTTGTTTAATACATGCAAAAGTTGCAGATCCTTAAGGCCCTACTTGGGGCAGTCAAATATTTAGGGGGCACTGATCAAAATCACTCGACGCATGCGTTTAAAGATTTATTTTCAAAAACTAACCTCCAAAAATGGTGGTTTTTCAGGTCCTGTTCTTCAGCCGGCAATGTCCGGGTTGTTTTCTAAATTGGGATGTATAGGTCCCAAGTTTCCCAACCTGCTGACACTTCACTTGTCCAAATTGGACCACAAAAACCCACTTTTTTCGATTTTTAAGTGCGGAGCACGTGCTAAAATAATGCTTATTCAAGCGCGGATCGATTGCAACTGGTTAGGTTAGGTTAGGTTAGGTTAGGTTAGGTTAGGTTAGGTTAGGTTAGGTTAGGTTAGGTTAGGTTAGGTTAGGTTAGGTTAGGTTAGGTTAGGTTAGGTTAGGTTAGGTTAGGTTAGGTTAGGTTAGGTTAGGTTAGGTTAGGTTAGGTTAGGTTAGGTTAGGTTAGGTTAGGTTAGGTTAGGTTAGGTTAGGTTAGGTTAGGTTAGGTTAGGTTAGGTTAGGTTAGGTTAGGTTAGGTTAGGTTAGGTTTTTTTTTTTTTTTTTTTTTTTTTTTAAGTAAATCTAGTTCCCCCTAACATGGAGATCAGGGACTTTTTCCTTCTTTTTATATTTTTTATTTCGTTTCTTTTTCTTTTCTTTATTATTTTTTATTTTGTCTTTGTTGCTTTTTTCTTTTTTACTTTTTCTTTTTTAGGTTCATTCATACAATAGTGTTCTTATCTATTTACACATATCTTACTTGCTAATACATTTTACTTATCCATAAATCTAGATCTACTTATTTTAATTGATTTACAATTTGACAGGACTGTTCACATTATATGTCTACATATAACTTACAGTTCCCTTTATTATACTTTCATTTATTCTTATTTATTACTTTACTAGCTATAGACTTACAGTATTTTAAGAACCTATCTCTTATATATTTATTTCTCATTATGTTACATATATTATCTTTACTTATTTTTATTTCCAATTCAACCTCTATGTCGTTTCTGTCTTTGCCATAAACTGGACATTCCGTAATGACATGAATCACAGTTTCTTCTTTTATCGGATCGCAGGCACATGCCGGGCTCTCCTTACACTTGAATCGGTGCAAGTATTCTGAGAACCCGCCATGTCCCGTCATCACCTGTACCGTGAGCGAGTCTATTTTAATTTTCCTTATAATAGGATAGGCGTTTAAAGCATCTGGGAAGAACACCTTTGTTACGGAGGCGGTTTCGCCTTCCACGTAACGTCGGTTCCACTCATCAAGCGAATTAAGACGGATCTTTCGCTTGACGAATGAAACCGGGCACCTCCCGTAGTCCGGTTTTCGCTTAATTTTTAAGGCGGCTTCCTTAGCTAACTCATCTGCTCTCTCGTTTCCCTCCAGCCCTGCGTGTGCTTTTATCCAAAACAAATTTAAAAATTTTCCTTTTTTGTTTATTTCCGAAATATTTTTTCTAATTTTTGCCGCTAGGGGATGGAGGGAAGCGCTCTGGACGACTGTCTGGAGAGCAGATCTTGAGTCGCTGTAGATATTGCAGCTTGGAGCCAGACTTTTTAGGGCATGATTTGTTGCCTCATATATGGCCAGCAACTCCGCCTGGTAGACAGTGCAGAAGTCTTCCAATTTAAATTTTCGGCTACTAATCTCCGCTGCGTCATTCCAAATGGATAACGCAGCGCCGACTTTCCCCTCAATTTTACTACCATCGGTGTAGATTTTAAGACCTTTGTTGTTATGTTGGTCGACTTGTGCACTGTCCTCCAGGCATACAAACTGCAGCCCAACCTGTTTCGCGGGGTGAGGTATCTTCGCGTATTCAAGCTTCCGTTCCACATCCCGATCTCCTACTATCCGCTGCGAGTAACCTTTCTTTACTTCATAAAGTAAGGCTGCTTCCCTGACCCTGAGGTCTAAAGGAAGCAACCCAGCGAGTAGTAGGGCCGAGTGGAGGGATACGGTTTTGTACGATTTTATAATCTTTTGAACGAACCCGCGTTGTGCCGTGTCGAGCTGCTTTTTAACACTGTGTTTGTATGTGGCCGATGCCCATACACTGGCCGCGTACAGTATGATCGGCTCCGTTACCGCTACGTAGATGGTCCTAATGATCTCCGGGTTCAGGCCCCAACTAATCTTGGCGGCTCTTGTTAACTGACCGTATAGACGCTGTACCTTGCAACACACATTTTTTACATGTGTGTTGAAGGTCAACTTAGCGTCTATAGTAAGCCCCAAAATTTTCATTTCAGTGCACAACGCAATGCTCTCCCCGCCCATTTTCAGAAGTGGTGAGTCATACTTAATCTTTTTTGTTATTACCATTGCCTTGGTCTTGTTTGGTGCAAATTTGAGTTTATTTCTGACTCCCCACTTCTGAACATGCGCGAGAGCCGCGTTGGCCCGATCCTGCACTTCAAATGCCTTGTCCCCGGAGAAAATCAGAACCACGTCGTCCGCGAAAGCCTGGCAATATTCTCCTTTCCCACTCAGTTCCTGTAATAGGGGGTCGATCAACAAATTCCAAAATATAGGACCCCCTATCGAGCCCTGCACGCATCCCTTTGCAGTGGTTTTAATGTATTCTGCTCCCGCGTACCTAATGCTAACGGTTCTATCCTCGAAATAGCTGTCCACGAGACGACGTAGGTTGATCGGGCAGCCAGTTTCTGCCAATCGGCATCTGATTGCCGGCCACCATGCGTTATCGAAGGCTCCCTCTATGTCCAAAGATATTAATAACACTAGTTTTTTATCATTGAGTTTAGTTTTTAGTAACTGCATCATGTCATAGAGGGAGTCCTCGGTACTACGCTGCGGCATAAACCCGTACTGTCTCTGGCTGATTGTGGGTACTATGTGCCATTTTATTCGTTGGACTAGCATTTTTTCGAAGATTTTCCCGAGCACAGGCAGCAGTCCTATAGGTCTGTAGGATTTGGGATGCGTGTAGTTCTCTTTCCCAGGCTTTCGCAGCACCACTACGACCGCCTCTTTCCATATTTTAGGAAAGTGTGCCAGATTGAGACATTTATTGACTATTGCCAAAAACATTGCCGGGTACAGAGAAATAGCCCTTGAACAAATATCGGCCGTGAGGCCGTCCCTCCCTGGTGCCTTTTTGGGGTTAAAACTAGACACAGACCACATCAACTCCTCTATCGTAAAAGGTGGGTCACATGAATCATCATGTGACCCTTCATTTACCGCTTTCGCCGCTTCTCTCATTTGTCTGTGTCCAATGTTGTCACCCCTGGTGTCATCTTCTGGGTAAAAAGTATCTGCCAGCACCTTAGCTGATTCCTGATTCCCCATGGTTATGCCATTTATGATTAAGGGAATGTCCTCATGCCTCTTGGTTGTACGGCCTATGACTCTATAAACCCCGTCCCACATTGACTCTCGCTCTTGCTTGCTGCAGAACTCCTTCCAACTGGAAGTTTGGGCCCTCTTGACTTCCAGCTGGTACTCCTCTTTAGCGCTGAGGTACTGCTCCACAACCCATTCACGACGAACTGGTGCTGCACATGATATTCGACGTTTTAGCCTGGAGACTTTCTTCTTAAACTGTGTTAACTCGTCGGTCCACCAGGGCAATCCTATTCGCTTCCTGTTCTTCAATTTGGACATATGTTTGTCTGCTACATCAGTGATTGTTTTTGTTACCTCTTCTATTTTTATTTCTAATTCTTCTCTTAATTCTATTTTGTCTATTTCTTTTTTGTTTAGTGTTTTACTGTTCCAAAGCTGGAGGAGTTTCTCACGAAACTCACTCCAGTTTGCCCTTTTTGTATTGTACTTCCTTGTTGTTCTACATACATCTGTTCCAATTGATTTTTCAAGATTTATATCGAACAGGATTGCTCTGTGGTCCGAAACAGTTATTTCTTCAGAAAGCCTCCAGTTTTCTACCCTCCCTAATAGGCTCGTCGAGCAGGTAGTTATGTCCACGCAACTAGAGAATCTTCTCCCACCTCTGACAATATCAAAGGTGGGATCCGATCCTCTATTGAGTATATGAAGCTCCAATTCGTCGAGTCTGGCGGCCAAGTCTGTTCCCCTTGTGTCCGTCTCCCGGCTACCCCACCAGGTGTTCCATGCGTTCACGTCTCCACCGAGTATCACGCTTCCAGTCCCTGAGGCTTCCACTGCCTTTTTGATCACGTCCAGGTATGGGTCGATTGGCTTATCACCCTCCAGATAGACAGACACCACTGCCATCTCCCAGGTCCCTGTCCTCAACTTGGCGACTGCGATATTTTCAGTTGTTAGGTCGGGACACTGGGTTACGTCAATGGTGTCGTCGAACAATACAATGGCAGCCTTGATAACCCTTCCAGTGTTGGGTTCTCTGTGACATTGTATTATTCGTGTCCCTGGGTAGTGCTTCATTTCTCCAATGCGACCGATGTAAGGTTCCTGGACCAACGCGAAAGATGTTTTTCTCCAGGTCGCCTCGGTGATCAATTCGGCAGTGGCTAACTCACATCTCTGCAAGTTGGCCTGGATAGCGTGATACCGGTGGCTGCCCGAATCGAAGTCTCCGGCAGACCTTGGGACCACCTTAGCAATAGGCTACGGTGGATCTTGCCAAGGTCTCCCATCTCCTTCTCACCGGGCAGTCTGAGCTGAACGCATTGTGGTCGTTCCTGTCCATTTTAGCCTTTATGCAGTTTTTGCACGATGGTGCTTCTCCCGATAGCCAGTCGGCACACTCAGTTCTTAGGTGCGGGCCTCCGCAGTGGCTACAGACCTCTTGCGTCTCGTTGCATACTCGCTTGGTGTGTCCGTATCCCAAGCACTTTGAGCACTGGACGAGTGGGGATTGGTCTTCTACCCTCACTCGTTGGAGATCTATGTGGATCGCTCCAGTCTCTGTGAGGCGGTTCCACAGCAGCGGCGAGACCCTCATCACAATGTGGGACGTGTGCGGGTTTCTAGTTCTCTTCTTATATTTTATTTCCATCCTATCTTCGTTATCTTTTATGTCTCTAAAGAGTTGCTTGTTCTGGGCTCTTATTGCTTTGACAATTTCTTCATCTTTATTGTACTGCAATACGTCTCTCAATATTATCAGTGGGTCCTTATTTTTTATTTCTTCCACATTAAGGTGTTCGTTCGCATTCCTTAATTTTTCTTTTACCCGATTTATTTCTTCTTGGGTGCAGCATCCCACTATTACTTTCCTATCTCTCGCCTTTCTTATTTTATCTATCCTAAGGCCCTCCTCTTTCGCATTTATCACTTTCCTAATCTTTTCCATTACCTGATCTCCTGTCTCCATTTCATTGGTCGATGTAATGGCCACCGAGTGCATAGCCACAGTTTCAGTGGGTAGTCTGCTCGGTTTCCCCGCCAGTACATTCGCGTACGTCCCTCTTTCTGTCTTATTTTCCTGTTTTTTCATTTCGTCTCTCAATTTTTCGATCTCTTTATTGTTTTCTTCCAGCAATCTCCCGTGTTCCTCTAACTTCTTTATTAGTTTGTTCTGTTCTTCTAGTTGTGTTATTTTATATTCATCTTCTTGTCTTTCTTCCCTTTTCTCTTGCTCTTTTGACTTATTCTCTATTCCTGTACATTTTCTTGTCTCTGCTTCTTTGACTAATTGATAGAGCCTTTCAATGGCCTGCGTCACTTCATTTTTTATGTCTGTTCGCAGGTTTCGGGAATTGCTAAGGTGCAGCTTGGCTTTCGTGAGACAGGCCCGGGCCTCCGTCAGACGATCTGCGTATTTAGCAGTTTCTGTCTTTGGTGAGCCTTCTGTTGCCTGCTCTGATGTTTTACGGGTTGCTCCCTTACTTTCCTGTGATGTTGTAATTTTTAATTTAGGACGCGCGACTGGTGCTGTCTTTTTAGGGGATTTGTGTGCTGTGGTTGCTGTGTCTGCTTTTCCCCCCGTCTCCCATTCTCCTATACTTCTCCTGACGCTGGTAGCCAGCGTGCTCTGGTTAATTTTTGGAGAAGGTCCTGCCTTCTCTGTCCTAGCTGGCGAGTCTTGAGGACTCATGTCTCTAGCACTGGTTTCTGCCTTTTTGACGGGGGTACGGATGCCGAACATGTCTAAGGGGAACGCGTCTCAAATCGAAATAATAAAATTAAAATTGTAAAAGTTGTATAAAATTATTTTAAAATGTAAATTTGTATAAGTTGTAAAAATATATATAAAATGAAGTAAAATTAAAATTAAATAAAACTAACTATATGTTTTTGCAGTTCGACACGACTGTCACGAGTTCAGGTTAGGCCTCAGTCCAATCTCCAACCATATAGTAAGCAACCAATAAAACCGAAACTAAAATAATGTAACAAAAAATTTCCTGTAGAGTCTCGACTCTACCTCGTTGTATATGCCACTATACAGAGTGGCTAGACGTCTATATTTCAGAAAAATGTTTATTTGTACAATTTAATACAAATCTGTCTGACTCTATGTAGAGTCTGTTTTTGAGTTCTACAATTAAAAAATAAAGAAATAAAGAAATAAAGAATAAGAATATTATACAATAAAATAAACAATAAACAAAAAAAAAAAAAATTTAAATTGTTACTGGAAAACAACTTGGCTCTACCAAGAGTCTCTTTTCTCTAAGTCTCTCGTTACTACTAACTAATCTTATTCTATTACTATTGAATTGAAGAGAACGTCCCTAGGTCTAACTTATTAATTTAGTATTAGTATACCTAAACTCTATGTAGAGTCTATTTATACGAACTGCTGTCAATAGAGGTAAGTATAAAGTTATAAGAATACACTAAAAATGTAGAGAAAGTCTTAAGGTCTAACTTATAATTTTTTATAATTACTGTACATAAACTCTATGTAGAGTCTCTTTATGAGTACTGCTGTCAGTAGTAGTAATAATCTAATATAATAAACTAAAATAAAATAAAAAATAAAATAAAAAATTTCTCTCAAAAAAGAAAAATCTTGGCTCTACCAAGAGTCTCTTTTGTTTAAATTAGTCTATAACACTTATTTATCTTATTCTAATAATATTTAGTTGTAAAGAAAGTCTCAATGTCTAATTTATAAAACTAAAATAATATACATAGACTCTATGTAGAGTCCGTCTATGTGTGATCTAAAAGTTCGGCAATTATGGTTAATTTTAGAAAAAACCCCGTCCGGATCGGTGCGGTAGTTATTGCACTATAACAGTTTTAAGTTTTTCATCCCCCAGAGACTAAGTCAATATGTCAACTTTGGGGTAGGGGGATGAAACTTTGTCCAAATGATCCGGGAGGGTCCGAAGACTATCCCTTTAGTGGATAGTGTGGGGGGGGGTTAGGGGGGGGGGGCCCCCGAAAAAATTGTCAGAATTGAGCTAGGAGGCTCCGTTCTCCTGAAAACTGAAAAACAAGTTTTCGTGCGGTTTGCAGGACCTCCCAGCTCACACAAATAAATTTATAACTTAGAAACTACTTATCCGAAAATTCTGAAAAATTTATGGTAGATAATGTATTAGTTGGTGTATTATAATTTACAATTACTAAATTTTGATTCCTGAAAAAATTTTGAGTTTTAGAATTTTGAAAATTGTGTAACGAAAACCAACAACCGCAAAAAGGCTCTAAATCTTGTAAATATGTCGGGACAATTTTGAAAAAATTTTGGAATATAGTCTGTATGATAACAAAATTTCTGACAATATTTTCAGGAATGTCCCGAGGGTCCTTCAGCCACCACGTGTTTGGACCTAAATTTTATAAAATTTCTTAATATTACTAAATTCACTCCAAATTTAAAAATTTTTATACAGTAAGTTAAAACTAAAGTTCCTCTTTTAATTAGAGTCTATAAATATATATGCCGTCACTGAAAAACCAGAGTTATTCACCTTTGAAAGTCCCTCCTGAAAATCGGTATCTTCAAGGCGTGATATCTCCGGTGTTTCTGGTCTGATTTTGATGATCGAGGTGTCAGACGCTTCGTCTCGAAGTCCTCTTCAATATTCCGTCGTCAGAATCAGCCGCACGGCCTTCAGTGAAAAAACACGTGGCCACGTGGTTTTTGTTTTTCCCCAATATTTCGGTGCGCTGGTGTCGGAAAATTTTTCTGATTTGCCTAGTCTATTAAGCTTGTCAAGGCGCTTCTTTTGACACTATAAAAACAGTATGTTCTCGATCTAAATCGAGCTACGTTTCGTTTTGAAACTATTGCAGGTTATAAAAACCAGTTTTTCGGTGATAACTTTTTTCACAGATCACTTTTGTCACTTTTTTATTACACCACTGTCTTCGTCTCGACGAGACGCGTCTAAAGATATATAGATCTTTTAATTTGGAGCACTTTGACCCGACACTTTGATTTTTAGAGCGCGGAGCGATATAAAAATGCTGCGTACGGGACGGCGTTTGGAGTGCAACTGGTTAGGTTAGGTTAGGTTAGGTTAGGTTAGGTTAGGTTAGGTTAGGTTAGGTTAGGTTAGGTTAGGTTAGGTTAGGTTAGGTTAGGTTAGGTTAGGTTAGGTTAGGTTAGGTTAGGTTAGGTTTTTTTTTTTTTTTTTTTTTTTTTTTTTTTTTTTTTTTTTCTAGTTCCCCTGATATGTGGAGGTCAGGGACTTTTTTCATCTTTCAGGTGTGTCTTTTTTCACCTTGTATTCTTTTCTTTCTTTCTTTTATTTATTTTTAGGTTTTATGCTTACATTCATTATTTCTAGTCTTAATTGAGTTCTTATTTCTACTAATTTTTATGGAGCTGTTTACATCATATACTTATACATTATATTTTGTTACAGCGTCCGCTTTCTTAGTTACTATTTATTTCTATTTACTACACTTCTTGTTATATGCTTACAATATCCTATGAACTTATCTCTATTATACTTATTACTAATTATTTTATTTACATTTTCTTCACTTATTCTTATTCCTAATTCCATTTCTAATTCATTTCTCTCTCTACCATATATTGGGCATTCTGTTAATAAGTGCATTATGTTTTCATTATTTACAGGGTCGCAGGCACATGCCGGGCTCTCCTTACATTTAAATCGAAACAAATATTCAGAGAACCCGCCATGCCCTGTCATGATTTGAACTATTGTCGGATCCATTTCCATTTTTCTAACAACTTTGTATGCATCAATTACATCTGGGAAAAATATTTTTGTTGTTGAAGCAGTTTCTCCATTTTTATAACGCCGGTTCCATTCATCAAGCGATTCCATTCGGATATATCGCTTGATGAATGATATCGGACATTTTTCGTATACCGGTTTTGTTTTAATCTTAAGGGCAGCTTCTTTGGCTAGATGGTCTGCTCTCTCGTTTCCCTCCAATCCTGCGTGGGCTTTAATCCAGTATATATTCAGTACTTTACCATGTTTATTTAGCTCAGAGATGTTGTTTCTTATCTCCACTGCCAGGGGATGGAGGGAAACGTCTTGGACAATTGTTTGCAGAGCAGACCTTGAGTCACTATATATGCTGCAATTTTGTGCCGGTGCCATTAGTGCATATCTAGTTGCTTCCAGGATTGCAAGCATCTCTGCCTGGTAGACGGTGCAAAAATTTTCCAATTTCAGTTTTCGGGTATTTGTCTCCGCAGCGTTATTCCATATGGATAACGCCGCGCCGACTTTCCCCTCTATCCTGCTCCCGTCTGTAAATATCTTAAGACCCTTGTTGTCATATTGGTCCATTTGTGCACCGTCTTCCAGGCATGTGAATTTCAATCCGGGCTGTTTCGCGGGATGTGTGGTCTTGGAGAATTCAATTTTGGTTTCCACATTACGGTCACCCACTATCCGCCGGGAGAAGCCCTTCTTTATTTCATAAAGGAGGGCTGCTTCCTGGACCCTTAAGTCCAAAGGAAGTAACCCGGCGAGTAGTAGGGCCGAGTGTAGAGAAACTGTCCTATAGGATTTTATAACTTTTTGCACAAACCCGCGCTGCACCATATCTAGTTGTTTTCTTACCTTGTGTTTATAGGTTGCTGATGCCCATGCACTGGCCGCATACATGACTATCGGCTCAACTACTGCAATATAGATGGTCCTAATGATCTCCGGGTTCAGGCCCCAATGTATCTTTGCAGCTCTCGACAGTTGACGATATATGTTCTGGACTTTACAGCATGTTCTATTAATGTGCATATTAAAGGTAAGCTTATCGTCAACTGTGAGGCCGAGTATTTTGATTTCTTTGGAGACCTCAATGTCCTTCCCGCCCATCTCCAGAAGTGGTGAGTCATACTTGAGCTTATTTGTTATAACCATGGCTTTGGTTTTGTGTGGCGCAAAATTAAGCTTATTTCCGACCCCCCACTTCCGGACATGTTCGAGAATTTCATTGGCCTGCTCCTGAACCTGTTGTGCCGTATCCCCGGAGAACATCAGGACCACATCATCCGCGAAAGCCTGGCAATGGGACCCCTTTGCACTCAACTCCCTCAGGAGTGGATCCAGAAGAATGTTCCAAAAAATTGGACCCCCGATCGAGCCTTGCACACACCCTTTATTGGTCTTCCTTAAATATTCGGCCCCGGCATATCTGAGGCATACCGTTCTATCTGTAAGATAGCTATCTACTACCCGCCTCAGATTTACCGGACACCCAATCTCCGCGAGCCTACACCGTATCGCCGGCCACCACGCATTATCGAAGGCTCCCTCTATGTCCAATGATATAAGCAGAATCAATTTTCTGTCTTTCAGTTTGCTCTTAATAAACTGCATCATGTCATAGAGGGAGTCCTCCGTGCTGCGCTGCGGCATAAATCCGTACTGGTTCCGGCTTATCTTCGGAACGATGTGCCACTTTATTCTGCGGATTAACATTTTTTCATAAATTTTCCCCAGTACAGGCAATAGCCCAATCGGCCTGTAAGATTTAGGGTGTGCGTAATTTTCTTTGCCAGGCTTTCTCAGTACTACAACTGCTGCCCTCTTCCACTTGACGGGGAAGTATGCAAGACTGAGGCATCTGTTCACTAGTGCCAGGAACAATGCTAAATCCAGGGTGACGGCCACTTCACAAATGTCTGCTGTTAGACCATCGTCACCGGGTGCCTTTTTTGCACTGAAGCTAGACACGGCCCACATAAGCTCTTCTGTTGTAAATGGTGGGTCACATGGACTATCATGTGACCCTTCGTTTACAGTTTCCGCTGTAGCTCTTGTTTGCGTGTGTTCCGTGTCGTCGTCTTCAGTGCTATCGTGTGGATAAAAGGTTTCCGCCAGTATCCTAGCCGATTCCTCACCGTCTAGCGTCCTCCCGTCCTGAACAAGTGGAACATCTTCTTGCCGTGTCAGTGTGCGACTTATAACCCTATATATACCGTCCCACATTGTTTCTCGGTCTTGCTTACAACAGAAGTCCTTCCAGCTGGCGGTCTGAGCTCTTTTTACTTCTTGCTTGTATTCTTCTTTCGCTCTTATGTATTGCTCGACCACCCACCCGCGACGGACTGGCGCTGCATATGAAATACGCCGCTTTAACCTGGAGACCTCCTTTTTACGCTGTGTTAGCTCGGGAGTCCACCAGGGCAATCCCATTTGTTTTTTAGTTTTTAATTTTGGGATACTGTTTTTACATGCTTCTGAAACTGAATTTGTGTATTGTTCTATTTTGATTTCTAGTTCGTCGGTTGTTGCTATTTTATCTATTTCTTCTTTATTTATTCTTTCCTCGTTCCAAATTTGGGCGAGTTTCTCACGAAACTCGCCCCAATTTGCCTTTTTTGTGTTGTATTGCCTAGTACTTCTTTTTATGTTGGTGCCTATTGATTTGCCTAAATTGATGTCAAATAGGATTGCCCTGTGGTCCGAACTGGTTATTTCGTCGGATAGTCTCCAGTTGTCCATCCTGCCGAGTAGGCTAGTCGAGCAAGTAGTCAAATCCACACAGCTGGAGAACCTCTTTCCACCTCTATAGGTGTCAAAAGTGGGCTCAGTCCCCCTGTTCAGAATATGAAGTTCTAATTGATCAAGCTTTGCGGCGACCTCTATTCCTCTGTTGTTTGTTTTCCGGCTTCCCCACCAGGTGTTCCATGCATTTACGTCCCCACCGAGTATCACGTGTCTTGTCCGTAGACCCACCACGGCCGCATCGATCATTTCTAAGTAAGGGTCGATTGGTAAATCGCCCTCTAGGTAGACAGACACCACCCCCAAGTCCCATGCCCCGGTGCTCAGCTTAGCGACTGCGATATTCTCTGTTGTTAGGCCGGGGCATTGGGTCATGTCGATGGCGTCATTGAATAGCACAATAGCTGCCTTAACCACTTTTTCAGTGTTCCGGCTTTTGTCGCTTTGTGCTATTCTCGTCCCCGAGTAGCTCTTCATTTGACCAATTCGACCTATATAGGGCTCTTGAACCAAAGCGAAGGATATCCCTCGCTTGGTCGCCTCTGTTATTAATTCGGCCGTGGCTAGTTCACACCTCTGAAGATTAGTCTGGATCGCGTGATATCGGTGGGTACAGATGTTAGGTTCCATGGTCGAGTTTGAGTCAACTTTAGCAGTATGCTACGGTCGACCTGGCGAGTACTTCCCATTTTCTTCTAACCGGACAGTCTGAGCTAAAAGCGTTATGATCTTTTCTGTCATGGTTTGCTTTGTTGCAATTTCTGCATTCTGGTATTGCTCCAGACAGCCAATCAGCACATTCTGTTTTGAGGTGTGGGCCCCCGCAATGGCTGCAAACGTCAGTTGTTTCTGTGCATATTCGTTTACTATGTCCATACTCTAGACAACGCGAACATTGAACTAGGGGGGACTGGTCCATCACTCTTACTCGTTGCAAGTCAATGTGAATGACCTCAGCCTCGATGAGACGGTTCCAAATCTGAGGCGAAACTCTCATCACAATGTGGGACGTATGCGGGTTTCTTGTTCTTTTCCGGTACTTAATTTCCATTCGATCCTCTTTTTCTGTTATTTCCCTGAAGAGGTTTTTATTTTGCGTTCTTATTGCCTTTATTACCTCTTCATCCTTATTATACTGCATAACGTCTCTCAAGATTACAAGTGGATCCTTGTTTTTTATATCATTTACATTTAGATCTTTCCCTGCCTGTTTTAATCTTTCCTTGACTCTATTTATCTCCTCCTCCGTTCGGCATCCCAGTATTACTTTTCTATCCCTTGCCTTCCTGATTTTATCTATCTTCAACCCTTCTTCCTTGGCATTTATTGCGTTCCTTATCTTATCCATGACCTGTTCTCCTGTTTCTTTTTCATCATTCGACGTGATAATCACTGAATGCATGGCCATGTTTTGTGAAGGCAAGGGTAGAGGTGAGGATGGGCCCCTTTGTGGCCCTGCAACTATACTTGCGTATGTTCCTCTGTTTTCTTTCATTTCCTGCTTTTTCATTTCTTCTCTTAGTTGTTCCATTTCAATTTTGCTTTCTTCTAATAGTTTGCTATGTTCTTCCAATTTCTTCATTAAGGCATGTTCTTCTTCCTTTCTTTTCCTGTTTTCATCTTCTAATCCTTTTTTCTCCTGGTCTTTGGGCTTTTGTTCTTTCTCAATGTTCTTATCTGTTTCCGCCTCTTTCACTAATTGATAGAGCCTCTCTATTGCCTGAGTAACCTCCGTTTTTATATCGGTCCTCAGGTTTCGAGAGTTACTCAAATGTAACTTAGCCTTATGGAGACAAGCTCTAGCCTCCGATATCCGGTCCGTAAATTTTGTAGTTACGGTTTTTGGAGAGCTGTCTGTGTTCTCAGCTGCTGGTTTACGCGCTGTTGCTCTAGTCTCCTGAGATGGAACAATCTTCTGTTTTGGTCGAGCCACCGGGGCTACCTTTTTTGGTGAGATTTGTGCTGTAGTTTGGTCATCTATTTTTCCCATTTCCCACTCACCAATGCTTTTCCTCACGCTAGGGACTTGCAACGCACTATCGCTTTTAGGAGAAGGCCCAGCCTTCTCTCTCCTACTTGGAGATTCCGGAGGACTCGTGTCCCTGGCACTATCCTCAGTCTTTTTAACGGGCGTACGAATGCCAAACATTTTCAGGGGAACGCGTCTCGGGTCTCAATAACCAATAAAACAAGTTAAAATAAAATAAAAATAAAGCAAAATGAAATAAAATAAAGTAAAATAAAATAAAACAAGACAAGCACAATACACAACAGCAATAATAAGTCAAATTATAATAAATTTTTAGGTTTGTAAAAGTTATAAAATCCTTTTTCAAAAAATTTTTTGAAAAATTTTTTGGAAGTTTTGAAGGTTGTTAGGGTGCAGTATTTAATTTCATCAATCAGCAAAACCACACAAATTCCGCGTTACAGCAATATTATTATAAAAAATTTTTGCTCTATGTAGAGTCTCAACTCTATCTTCGTTAATATGTCACTAAGTATACACGTACAATACAATATAAATGTTGCAGTTAGAATTTCTAAAAAATTTTTTCTTTAATAATCTATAATACTCTACCTAGAGTCTGTCTGTGTCTCTATTAATATATATTTAAATTTCAATTATCAATTAAGTAACTTAAAAATTTTTTAAGAAAAAATTTTTCCTTGCTCTACCTAGAGTTATCACTATTTTCTAATCCTTATCTTATAACTACACATCAAATTATATATTACACTAGTCACACTTAATTTCTAAATATTTTTAGATCTGACACAAAATAAAAAATTTTTTACAAGGCTCTATGTAGAGTCCGTCTAAGACTAAGTTACTAGGTCTATTTTTATAGAGTTATTTACAAAAAACCCCGTCAAAATCGGATCACTGGTTAAGTTGTAATTACAATTTTAAATTTTTCATCCCCCAGAGACTAAGTCCAGAAGTCAAGTTAGGGGTAGGGGGATGAAACTTTGTCAAAATGATCCGGGAGGGTCCGAAGACTATCCCTTTAGTGGATAGTGTGGGGGGGGGTTAGGGGGGGGGGGCCCCCGAAAAAATTGTCAGAATTGAGCTAGGAGGCTCCGTTCTCCTGAAAACTGAAAAACAAGTTTTCGTGCGGTTTGCAGGACCTCCCAGCTCACACAAATAAATTTATAACTTAAAAACTACTTATCCGAAAATTATGAAAAAATTATGGTAGATAGTGTATTAGTTGTTGAATAATAATTTGTAATTAATAAATTTTGATTCCTGAAAAATTTTTGAGTTTTAAAATTTTGAAAATTGTGTCACGAAAACCAACAACCGCAAAAAGGCTCTAAATCTTGTAAATATGTCGGGACAATTTTGAAAAAATTTTGGAATATAGTATGTATGATAACAAAATTTCTGACAATATATTCAGGAATGTCCCGAGGGTCCTTCAGCCACCACGTGTTTTTTATTGGACCTCCCAGATCACACAAATAAATTCGTATCTCTGAAAGTACTTGCTCTAAAATTCTGAAAAAATATATTTTGGATAGCTTGTTAAGTAGGGAATATTATAGTAAATTTGGAAAAAATTTTTTCTTGGAAATTTTTGGAAATTTTTAATTTTGAAAAATGAGTTATAGAAACCAAGAACCGCAAAAAGAGCCTAATCCGAAAAATAACAATAGGAAAATTTTGAAAAAATTTGGGATAATAATATTAAGTATTTCCTACCTTTGTGAATTTTTTCAGATTTTTCAGGCGCACCTTCAGGACACCACGTGATTTATCTTAATAATAAAAAGTCTCTTACAGATAGTGGTTGCACTCCAAATTTCAGAATTTTGGTGTCTTCTTGTAGGTCTTGAAATGCTCTTTCATATGATGTCAAAAAACATATATGTCCTCACTGAAATTTTAAAGTTTTTTACTTTAAAATTTTTTGGCTGAAAATCGGTATCTTCACAGCGTCATAACTTCTTTATTTCTTGACCAAATTTTTTGGGCGAGGTGTCAAACGATTTGTCTTGCCGTCTTCTTTATAAAGCCGTCGTCAAATTTAGCCGCACACCTTCAGATCTTAAAACACGTGGCCACGTGGTTTTTTAATTTTGGTAATAATTCCGTGCGCGAGCGTCCAAAAATTTTTCTAATTACACAAAAAGTTAGAGCTAATTAGGGCGCTTCTAACGACACTAAAAAAGCACTATGTTATCGATTTAGTTTTGGCAGCGTATCACTTTTTAGTTTTTGGGGTTAGGAAAAAATGGTTTTTCCGTGTTAACTTTTTATTTTCCACACTTTTTCCACTTTTTCACATATCACTATGTTCGTCTCGTTGAGACGAATCTTTCGGTGTATCACACTTCGTTATTTGGTCAACTTGACCCACAACTTTGATTTTTAATACGCGGAGCGGTTTAAAAATGATGCGTTCGGGACGGCGTTTGGAGCGCAACTCGGTTAGGTTAGGTTAGGTTAGGTTAGGTTAGGTTAGGTTAGGTTAGGTTAGGTTAGGTTAGGTTAGGTTAGGTTAGGTTAGGTTAGGTTAGGTTAGGTTAGGTTAGGTTAGGTTAGGTTAGGTTAGGTTAGGTTAGGTTAGGTTAGGTTAGGTTAGGTTAGGTTAGGTTAGGTTAGGTTAGGTTAGGTTAGGTTCCCCCCCGAACGGGTTCCCGCCTTGTCGTGGCGGGGGGGCTTAGTAGCCGTGGCTTGGTCACCCACGGTGAACAAAGAGGAACCCCTTGGCTGGCCCGTGCTGTAGGGCCGGCCCGAGGTGGCCGCTCCGAGTGGGCTTGGCGAGTCCACTTCGGATGTGTGTCGGGGGGCTGCGGTGAGAGGGGAGTCCGCACCCTCTACCGCTGCAGCCGAGGTGGAGTCGCGGAGGAAGAGGAGTGTTGGTATGGCGATGCGCCACTCGCCCTATCCTCCGCGACTCGGGCGGGGCCGTACCGTCGATTGATGCGGTGGTGGTGGGGCTGCGGTGGGAGAGGAGTGTCGGTATTGCGATGCGCCGCTCTCCCTACCCTCCGCAGCCGAATCTTGGTTGGCGGCGGAGCCATAGACCAGATCCGCCGTTGGGGCCGGGAAGGCCGGTGCTTCATAGTGCTAGTTTTTCCTGGCCCCATGGCCTTCGCGCATCGGACACGGGGGCGTCCGTTGCGCATGTTAAGTTGGAGGCCGAGGAGGAGGGCGCGCCATGTGTTCTGGTGCGCCTTACCTGAGAGGGAGATGGGGGAGGAGTAGTCCTCTACCGAGGAGGGGCCGCCATGGGGCGGCCAGCGCAGGTGGGGCCGCGGATGTGTGCGAAAGCGTTCCCGTGGCCCTGCCAATATGCGACGAGGGTGGAACACCATGGGGTTTTAGTCGGTGCGAGTCCGACATAACCCGTCCTTGCCCCCGCGAGGCGGGTATGCGTAGGCATTTCCCCATGTAAAAAAAAAAAAAAAAAAAAAAAGGTTAGGTTAGGTTAGGTTAGGTTAGGTTAGGTTAGGTTAGGTTAGGTTAGGTTAGGTTAGGTTAGGTTAGGTTAGGTTAGGTTAGGTTAGGTTAGGTTAGGTTAGGTTAGGTTAGGTTAGGTTAGGTTAGGTTAGGTTAGGTTAGG